GCTTTGAACACTGACACATTAAGAGCAGCCATGTAGGTGGGAACTGAACGCACGCACCACAGGAGAGGATGTTAAGCAGCGGCTAAGAACCAAAAGGATGAACAACAACATTAACCTTTTCTTTTCTAGACATGGGAAGGAAGAAAGTGAGTGTGGCATGCAGAATCCAAGCCTGGGCCCCGAGGACTCCAGGTCCTGTGACCACCTGGGAAATTTGGCTGGGCTGGCACCATGTCATGTGATTGTTGGAAATTATTTCCTTGTTTTGAGGAATTGGATTAAGTTCCATTTGAGCAAATTTAATTCCTTTGCCAGACCTTCACTTCTCAGAAACATAAAACCTGTAGTCTTTTATTAAATTAGTAATATATTTATATCATGTTTGTAAATAACAAATGACAAATGATAATTTTTAAGGCATCATTTATTGAGCACATACTATGTGCCCAGCAAGGATTTTAAGAGATACCCACTTGACTCATGTAAGAGCTGAAGCCAAAAGAGGTGAAGCAATTTGCCCAACAGAGCATGAATAGATAGAAGAGCCATGACCTGTACACATACATGATGTAGAACACTTCTATTTTTCAAGATTTTGAAAAATGATTGCAAACATAATGCCTATGTCCTGACTGTGTTTTATGTATAAACCACACAAACTCAGAGGCGTTGGCTGGGGCTGAGAACATAGCTTGGCAGTCTAAGTGCCTGCCTGGCAAGCGCAAGAAACAGAGTTCAATCCTGGGTACCGCATGCTGTGCTGGCCCCGCAACTGGGCTGGAGAGGCTGAGACAGGAGGAAAGAAGGGCCAGCAGAGCAGCCCGCAACATGCCGTGAGTTTCTCGTTTCTCCCACACTTTCAATAATTAAAAGGCAAAGCTCCGGCCTGAGTTTTAAATGCTGGAGCATGCCTATTGCAGCTGGAAACATCGCAGAGTGCTCTAGAGAAAAAACAGTACTTCTCAGGTGGAAATCCTAACCAAGTTCCCACGCTCACTGCAGCAATTCTACGAAGCAAGAAACCCCTGCAAATCGAAGCCCGCTGCTGGCTACGTGGGCTGGGATGAGGGGTCAGTGGAGAAGAGCAGGGAGAGGCTGGAGAGCACAGACTGCTGTGTTTACATTAACCTACACAACACTCTGGGTTCCCTTCAGGTCATATAAGCGTTTCGCATTTACATTCACCTACACAGTGATTTTGGGTAGCCATGCAGCTTGGGCTCCATGAGACAAACAAGTTGCTACTCTTGCCCTCCGTACCAATATCAGAAAATAATGTACATGCTTTGTCTGACTTTTTTCTCACTGCGTTTGTCATGTAATGTCTGCATTTCCTAGGAACATGATGCATAATTGGTACTCACCTAAACTGTAACTCGGACTAACCACATTCAAGGACGCCACAGTCATTCCTATACTCCTGGACAGTACAGATTCTAAAGACTGTTGAATAAACAGGTCTATAGTGTCATAAAGCAGGACACATCGGGAGAAAGAGTTGGGACTTCTCAGTGAATGCTAACTGAGATGTGACAATGACCCAGACTGTCTGGACAGTGTATATGGCTTAAAAGGAAAAGGAAGAACCTCAGAACCCTAAAGAATGCCAGCATTTCAAGGACGCAAAGGAGACCTAGGTGGTACACACAAAAATCTACTGACAACATTGTCCAATTTTAACCTTTTAAAAAATCTTTTATCATAATAAAAGATACACGGTCATGAGTCCCCCTCTCCTCAGACATCCTTACCACCTTCTGAAGCAATTTGGAAAGTCCTCTTTAGACACAACTAAAGTCCTCTAGCTATGCTGCTGTGGCTGCCACCCAGCCCTGAAGTGACCCCGAAGGTTTCCCCTTCGTGAGCATTCTGACCTTGGCAAAGAACCAGGAGTTGCCTGGTGCCAGAACTGCTGACTAAGGTCAGTGAGGACACACCATGACATTTTTGTGATCCTGCTTTCACCTTGGGTGACATGTAGTAACATTTGCCATACTGTTCGCCACACGGCCCAAAGACACTCATGAAAGAGGACTTCTAGAGCTGCTAGAGTGGCAAGAGTCAGGGGCTAAGCGTGCTCCGTGCAACAGGGAATATTTGAATGGGGATTGTTAGCGGTGCATCTTTTATTGCAATACATTTTAAATATTTAAATATTCACTGACTATTCTGAGCACTTCTTCTATTTCTGTACAAAAGAAATGATCCATACAGATTTTGGGGATTCATGAACCCGAGACTTGTGGTAACCCTACACTTTGAGGACTCTCGGTTACTTTTATTAAAGGAGGCGCGGACTACACAGCACTACCTTGACCTCCTGTAGAAGACAAAGGTTCTGAGGAGTTTGGAGGAAAAGGCTGCGAAGGAAGCCCTGGCCAGAATAACGCAGCTTTTGCACAGAGCGTGGCGTACAGCTCATAGAAGAGATACCAGAGTCTGGAGTGCTCGTGTTGTCATTTTAACAAGGCAAACTTGACTCCTTCCCCACAATGGCAGCTTGTTCTTCACTCAGAATTAAATACTATGGCCACCTTCAAATACTTCTGTGGCTCTGTCAACCCAGTTGGTGGAAGTGAGTCATGGAAGCCACATATGTGGGCACCCGTCAGATTTAAACAAAGCAGTGAGGTCCAGGAAGGGAAGAGTTCTTATGTCAAAATGGACCAGAGGGAGGTTCTGACAGGAAGAAAACCCACTCCAAGTACTTGGATCTTAGCACATGGCGGAGAAGGGCACCCTTGTTTCTGGAGCTCTATAGAACCTCACTTGCTGCCCTCTGGAGACCTTGTGCTGGGGGAAGGGAAGACAGTTCAAAGCAAAGACCGCAGGGCACTTGTGCCAGGCCGGATCTCCAATCAATATGCAGCCCTGAAAGATCGTGATGCGGATCTTTGTAAATCAACTCTTAGGGTGCTTGCCCTGGGGCAAATCGCACAACAAATGAATCCTTTCTTCAGGAAATGCAGCAAAGTTTGTTTCTACACTGAATTCAAATTGCTCATTAGCGCTGACATGTTCCTAATGAGGTTATAATGCTCTGGGACAAAGATCAAGCCACTAAACACCAACAGCGAGGGCTAGAATCACAGAACTAGTGGAACGAGAAGGACCCCAGAGCAGGGCTGCTCCAACTTGAGTGTGCGTCATCACCTGGGCATTCTGTGTCAGATGCTGGAGATCCAGCCCTGGTATTGGATGCCGGAGGTCCAGCCTGAGACTGTTTCTCAGGAGCTCCAAGGCATGCTGGGGCCTCCAGCCCACCACTGCCCTTACATGGCAAGACCTCAGAAGAATCATTAAGCTCATCTGCCCAAAGGCCTTATCCTAAAGGGAAGAACGCAAGGGCCAAGAGATGTAACTGGAAGCACACTGAGACCTTCACAGGGCTAATGTGGGACAATTGCAGGTTTGTCCTCAGACCTGCAAATACACCTGGAAATCATCAATACACATGCAGGAAACAGGGCAGCTAATTGCTTCAGTGTTTACAGTACCAAAAAGGTCTCCAGGCCATGGAGTTCTAAAACTGGGAAGATCTGGAAAAACCAAGATGAATATCTCCAGCCCACAAAGAGGTCTCTGGATCTGCTTAGACTGAAGCACCAGGGCCCTGAGCTCCTCGGGCCCTGTGGAGACCCCAGGCTGTACCAGCCAGCCACCTGCATGTCCTCCTCTGCAGACACCAAGGTGCAGATACACAGAGAAGACTAAGATAGCTCCCTCCACGCTGGCGAGGGCATCTCCAGGGCACAGCCGGAGAGAGCCTGGGAGGTGTGACACAGCAACACCACCAACCCACAGGTGGGAGAATCATCAAGCAAAGAATTTCCTTTCAACTGCATGTATCTTTTCTATTTTCCTCCTTTAAGAAAATGCATGTAAGATACCTATCACTCACTTTCATAAATCCCAAAACCTTAGTTCATATCATCTTTGCTAAAAGCGCTAAGATGACAATAAAATATCATGAAAGTGAAGAAAATGTCATGTTCTATACAAACAGAGTTAGAAGGGAAATGCATCCCTCCATTAAGGTTATTTTATTCACTGGAATTGAGCCTATTAATATTAAAATAATGAATAATCCAAAAAGAAAACATGAAAAATGTTTGCATTATTCCATGCTAGCAGCATATTGTTTCATCTTCCAAAACAGAAAGATAAGACACTGATTCCAGCAATTCGAAATGTGGAATTAGTGGAATCCTGACCACGAAGATCTCCCTCTCTGCAGTTTCCGTATCCAAATAAGACACCAGTGTGGTCTGATTGAATTAGTGACTTAATATTCATGGAGGTAGGACACTTAAAACAAAGGCAGGAAATAAGTGTGGCTAAATATATACAATGCATTTGAAATAGGTAAAGGAGAGAACCCCAGACACTCGGCAATCATTACCTGGAAATTAAAGAGGGCAGAAGCAATCCTATTATGCATTATAAACAGCCCGGCTGCTGACTTAATGGCAGTTTGAGTAGCATAACCACAGAGTCCTTGCTCCAATATTAATAGGAAAAGTATTGTACGGATCCAATAGTTCATGAAATTAACAAGGAAAATGAACGGGAGTGAAGCAACTTTGCCAGTAATAGGAGGTACAGCAATTGCTTCCCTGGAGCATGCCGCACGCTGAAAAAGAGCTCGAGGAGAGGATATGTATATTAATGAGAATGGACATTATTAGAATCTTTAAGTAATACTTTTAAATATATTTCAAATTCTCTGTTGGTTGCAAATATTTTAAAGCATAAGCTATTAGCTCAAGCTGTCGCGAGCTATAAGAGATCCAGCCCAGCGGTACTGACAGCTGTCATCTGAATCAGCCCAAGACACAATGAACTCACGGCTTCACTGTGGTCAGCGAGGCCCAGTTCACATCCATAGAGCTAAATCCTCTCAGTGAGCGGAAAGCAGTCTCCCTCCTACAAGCCTCGGGAGTGGGAACGGCACACACATGCACATGGCCAGGCTAAGAGCGCCTGTTAACTCCACTTACAGACCAATAGACATACGATGGAAGAGAATGCCTTCCCCACAGACGCTGCCTTGGGCGACCTGGCTGAAGCTTGCGTTGACCGAACAAGAATCTGGAAGGGTGGCCATAGAAGCAAGAACATGACTTCTATTTTTTCCAGACAAAGATCCATCCAAGTCTTCCAAAATTGCCGCATGAGGAAAAGGAAATGCTACTAAGTTCGGAGAGTTTGTAAACTTCAAATTGTTGGTCTTCACAGTAAATCCACCTACACATTAGAAAACAGAAAGGCAGTTGGCCAAAGGGATGGGACGATGATCACGAAGGCAAACTGCATTTATTGAAGTCTTTTCAATATTTTAACTTGCAAATTTATTCAGTAGTATAATTCACCACTTATTCATACCAGAGAAATAAACCAGGAGCGCTCACGTCAGGCCAGGCCGTGCGTGCCACAGATCTGTATGGACCAAAATCAGCATGGCCCAGCCATCGTGCAGGCTGTGCTCTCGTGCAGAGATCTGTGCCAGGGGTGACTTTCTTTCAGTTAGCATTTGGCCCTATTTTGAGTTATTGCTGGTTGTCACACACGGAAAGGTGTAGACGGAGCTACCATCATCTAGCAGGTAGGGCCCGAGGATGCTGCTGAACTTCCTCCAGTATGACCAGCCTGCAGTCAATCATACGTGTAAGTAGCAGCAGTACCATCATCTCTAAGTGTTGGCTCTAGTGCACACATCTTGACACTTTGTCTAGCACACCACCACAATGTTCTGGCACTGCTAGTTTTGTTCTTAAGATTGTTTTCTCAGGTAACTGTTCAAAGTATAAACTTCATAGGTATAGGAATTGTTGACGACATATACTAGCCATTGATGAATGGAAGATACAAGATGGGGAGACTAGAGCGTAACATCTCTTGTATGTAGTTTTAGTAAATGAATGCTCCCTGTTTAAATTTTCCACAAGACCAGAGGTTCTCATGCTTGGCACTATTGACATTTTGTTTCAGGCAGTTTTTGTTATATAGACAGCATTTTCACTACAGGCAGTTTAACAGTACCCCTGGGCTCTACCTGTAATTGACAGTATTATATGCAGGGACTTATTCTTTTTTCTTCCTGGTTGGTTGAATTTTGATTGTAAGTTTATTTTTTTTTTATTTTTAAAGAGAATAAAAAAATAGTAAAAAAAATTAGAAACGATACAGAATTTCACTAAAACAAAATGATACAAATTCAGTAGTGCTTGTCTTTGCACAAAAGACCCGAAGTCTACCTCTTGCATGTTACACAGCGCACCCAGCCGCTGCAGCAGCTGCTCCTGTCTGCTTCTGCCTGGCTGGGTGGGCTGCATGATTCCCCAAGCACACTGGCTGCTCAGACTCTCTGTTTCTGGAACACCCCATTTCCAATACAGCTAAACTCTCCCCTGTTTCTGCCTGCAGACTTCCGCCTACCTTTCTGATCTCAATCAAAAGGCCACTCTGCAGAGCTTGACCTGACCCCCACAGCCTCGTCACCGGCCATGTGCAGCTCTCTAGTGCTGGAGCTTCTTGCTCTATCTCAGGAATGGGCTTACATGTTTATTTTTGTCCTTAACATAGGAGCTGGGGATCCTTCACCTTAGTACTTCCTTGTTCCCTAATTAGAGCCTAGAATAGACATTTTTTAAGCAAGTAAAGGGATGGCTTGGCCAAAGTGACCCAGTAAGAAGGAATTAGTGCCCAAAATGATCAGTGTGGTTTTTCAGGGTCTTATGACTGATATGAAATAGTAAGCTATTAAAGAATCAAAGAAATATGATTTGTCTTGAGGCAGTTTTATACCTATTATTACTTTTACAGTCTCAGACTCAGGTGTCGCCAAATGAAAACAGTCTTGGCTTAGCCTACTTGGGGAAAAAAGGAGAGTGGAAACTTGCTGATTATTCATTTAATTAAAAAAACAAACAATTATCTAAATTGGTGATTCAATCCACAAGAGCATATTCACTAGAATTACTCGGTTTGGCTTCTTAGAGTGCTTGGCTCAACTACACCGTGCTATGTCGTGCACTGTGGCCCGTGAGTCCTCCAAGGTCTTGCTCACCACTCCGGGGACATGCTTAACAAGTGCACAAGAATCCCTATGGTTCTCCTCGTGCATGTATCAAGCCCTATGCAGCTGAAAACAGTAAACACTGGAACTGTGTGGGTCTTTCAGATGAGATTTATCCAGACTAGAGAGTGGCCATCTGTTCAACTCCATTTACCCATTTTATCAGCGAACTGCCCCCTGATGTGTCCAAGTAATAAAATCCTGACCAAGGGAGATGTGAGCTCTGCTTTTCTGAAGCTGAGCATTTTGTGAGACAGAGCAACACAGTGACAGAATGTGACTGACACCGGGACACCAGAGGGCAGGAGCTGCAGAAGCCACACTGAGAGGATCTGCTTCCCCTAGGGTTTGCTTAGGAAATCTGAACCACAGCTCCTTAGCTATAACCTTGTAACTGAAAGAAATATTGGTTCGCAAAGACAGTATCATATTCACTTGAGTATTGGCCTTATTTCCCAGGCGTCCCATCTAGCCAAACTTACCCTGTCCTCGGGAACAGCCCGAGCAGGTTCTGATGGCCACGCAGTCCATGAGATCAAAATTAACAAACTCTGTGTTAGAAATCATCAGTTCCCATCTCTTGGGAGTCCTAACTCCAGCTGACATACATACTTTATCCTGTGGCTTTTAAAAAAAGAATAAAAAATAATAAGAGCTAGCCTCTTGAAACATAGCTCATACTGTACAAATAAAAATACAAAAGCAATATGCTAAACCTATATATGACAAAAGTCTTGTAACCAGAATATGAAAAAAAATCTGTACATCTTCACAGTAAAAATACAGACTATGCAATTAAAAACAAAAACAGTGAAAGAAATTGAAAGCCGCGTCCCTAAACAACAAATGTAGGTAGCAAATGAACCCTTGAAAACAACGTTTAACGTGATCTGCATGAAGGAAATGCATACTAAGATCAGAGTAACACAGTGCTATGCACCTAGTAGGAGGCTAAATAAAAATAATGAGGATGGAAAGCACTGATGAGGAAATGGAACAACTAAAATTCATATTCTGCTGGCAGAATGCAACATGGGACAGCCACCGTGGGAAACGGTTCGGCAGCTTCTTACAAAGCTCTATTTATTCTTCTCAAGTGACCAGCAGTGCAACCACCAGATATTGCTATAGGGAAACGGAAACATACACGCATTTAAAAATCTTGCACGAATGGTTATGACACTTGCATCTGTGATCACCAAGTCTGATGCCTCAGTTCGCCTTCAACAGGTGAGTGCATAAATAACGTCGTGTCTATAAAGTAGACAACCACGCAGATATGAGAGAAACATAACACGTGTGTGCAACAAGTTGGGTGAACTCCCAAACGCCATTCCCACACCACACGCTTCCACTTCTGTAACTATTAAAAAGGCAAAACGGCGGTGACAGGGAGCAGACTCAGGAAGGCCCAGAGTCAGAAGTGACCACAGGAGGCACCCAGAGGCGGAGCTCAGGGCTTGGCGTTGGTGCGACCGCTCTTCATTCTTTGCACGAGTATGTGTTTGCAGGTCACAGGGACCACATTCACCGCAGGGACATGCACAGAGCACATCTCGGTTCTGTTCTTCCCTTTCCTTCCATTCCCTTCCATTTTTTGAACATCAGATTAATTTATTGATCATATAAGGCCTTGTAAAGCTATGCATAAATATAGATCTAAAGAACTTGTAGAACATGTAAGATAATTCTACTGAGTCAAGCTATGCTTTTAGATACATTGTCTGTGCTGGATTATAATATTCTCATTCTCTCTCTCTCTCTCTCTCTCTCTCTCTCTCTCTCTCTCTCTCTCTCCCTCCCTCCCTCCCTCCCTCCCTATAATTATCTATCATTTATATATTGTTATATATTGAGTTTCTCATAGAAGAGAAACCATGGAACAGTTAAGCATGTGTGTGTGAGTTACTTCACTTCATGCTATGGTCCCAAGGTGCATCCATTTTTCTGAAAATGCCTCAAGTTCACCCTTCTCTACTGCACAGTAGTGCTTCATTGTGCATAAGTCCCACGTTTTCTGCATCCATCCATCTGTCCAGGGACATATAGGTCATTTCCAAGATTCAGCTATCATGAATCATGCTGCTGCAGGTGTGAACAGGCACACATCCCTGGGGTTGAGGTCTTTAGCTCTCGGGAAGTTATGTAGATGGGAATAGCTGGATCCGATGGAATCTCTAGTTTTAGCTTCTTGTAGAATCTCCATGCTAATTTCCACAGTAATTGTATCCTTTCCCACTCCCAGCAGTGCAGAAGGGCTCCCTTCACCCAGCAGCCCCTCCAGTATTTGTTGTTGGTTGACTTCAAAACAACAGTCATCCTTTCCAGGGTGAGAAGGAATCTCAGTGTTGTTTCATTTTGGAGTTTACAATGGCCACAGATGTTGAATATTTTTTCATGTATTAACTGGACATGTGTATTTCTTTGTCTGAGAAATAGCATTCATTATAGGTGCCCATTTCTTAAATCGGCCTTTACATTTGGAGGTCTAATTTTTTTTAGCTCTTTGTATCTTGTAGATGCGCATCGCTCATCTGCAGAGGAGTAGCTGGCAACTTTACTTTCCACTCTGTGAGGTGTCTGTTCACTGTCTTTGTGGTTTCCTTCTCTGTACAGAAGCTCTTTAAGCTGAGCTGATCCCATCTGTTGATTCTTGGCATTATTTCTGCGCAGCTAGGGTTCCCTTGAGCGAGTCTTTCTCTACACACATTTTCAAGAACTTCACCTATTCTGCCTTCCAGCAAATCAAGCATTTCTGTTCTAGTTGTTCTATATTGTAATGGTGGTGATGGGGTGTTTGCATAAATTTACTCATGTTAAAATTTTAAAACTGGAACACTGGAAAAGTCAATTTTACTATATTTAGTATAGAAAAAAATTAGCTTTGATTATATAACCTAAAATAAAGGAAACAAAAGTTGTTTATCTAATACTTGCCACAAAAACTCAACAAACCCCATTCATTTAAGTTTTAAGTGCTTCACTGTTCCATTGTTAAAAATAGTTCCTTATCTGAACATCAGTGAGTTTTCCCAAAACCCTCCAACATGAAAAACAGTGATTAAAAAAATAAACAAAATAGAAATTTCTAAATCTAATTTAGAAATCAGAGGGAAACTGGAACATGGTATTCAGAGAAATGAGTAAATTATATCTGTTGAAAAAAGCCTACAAAATATTTTTTAGAAACAAAAATGAAAGAGTACAATGGAAAAATTGAGCAAATATCTTAAAAGGTAGAAAAAAGACAAAGAAATGGAATAGCAGAGCTGAAATGATTAGGAAGGCAATCCAAGAGGCCCAATACCCAAATACCAATATTTTAAATAAAATTGAGGGAAATACAGAAGAGACAACTTTCAAGGCAATAATAGAACAAAACTCCCCATAAAAAAAGATCAAATTCTTCAGGCTGAGAAGTCCTACCCACACCTCACACAGCGGTTAGCACAGAGCCACACCAAGGTACGCAACATTGAAACTGCAAAACACGACAGACACGACAAGGAAAAAACTCTCAGAGATGATCAAATAAAATTTTACATGTAAAACACTTGAATTAAAGTATCATAAACTGTCTGTCCTCAAAACTAAAAGCTAGAAAACAACAAGGTATCACCTCCAAATTTTAAGACAAACCTAACTCCAACCCTAGTATTCTGTAACTAATAAGCTACCAGGAAGGGGTTCCCATTCATAGCCCAAAATATTTACCTTTGAAAGATCTGCTTTTTTTCCAGAATGTTACTATGGTCTACACTCTTAAGAAAATGAGGAATTGAACCAGAAGAAAACAAGACATGAGGAAAAGGAAGGAGATTCTCCCACTAGGAAGAGCGGAGGAGACCTCCTGTGTGTGGTGGAGACAGGCCGCAGGACAACCGCTCCGAAGGCTCAGTGTAAGGTAAGCCCTCAGGACTTCGCTTGCATGACACACCAAGGCAAAAAAGAGAGCATATAACCACTAATTTTGCAGCTTCACATATTTTCAACCGAGATAAACACCAAGAAACATACAAAAAAATGTTTATAAAAGATAGCCATCAAATGCCTCCCAATAGCATCACAGCTGTAAAACTTAGGGGTGCAATCACAAAATTAAATACTATATAATAATGATTGGAACTATAAATTGCTGCAAGATATGGGTGAATCTCATATATTTAATATTGTGCCAAAGAACCCAGGTGCAACAGAGGGACATGTTCTATGATTCCATTTATATGAAATTAAAAATAAGATAAAGGCCTTGTTTTTATATTTTCTACTGAATGGTTAAGACTAAGATAAAGCAAGACCTATATAATAAGAAATGTAACTTTTGTATCTGATAAGGTCAGTCAAGTCCCCTCAGGATTTATCCTGAAACCCTGTACTGTAGTTTGTAGATCCTTTGTCAGTGTCAACCATGTGGATGAGTCACGGCCATTGCTTGACTGTAAAAGTCTGAGGGAATGTTTCCTCTCCATGTGACTCTCCTTAGGCACATTCTACATCATTGATCACTTTCCTCTGTGTCCCCATATTCTCCTTGATCAGAAAATTAGGGACTCTACTGAGTTACAGGATGTTATAGCACAGGTTCTCCTATTTCCTGAGTCCTCACTGACCTTGAAAGGCTAGGGCCAAAATGTTGGATGTCCTTGTATCCCTTCTTTTTCTCTAATTTTTGGTCTGCAAACTTAAGTTGTTAACCCTCCAGAAGAGAAGCTTAATGATATTAATACCCTATAACATAGGCAGTTGAGCTTAACCTCACCATCTGTCTGAAAAGGAGGTATAAAAAATAAAGCCATATTAATACACTGAGCTGTAAAAGGCTCAAGTCAATGACTTCTGATATTACCAGTCCTTCAGATAGCCTACTACTATTATGGACTACTGGACTATATTGGATTATTTTGCTGAATTCACACACCTACAATATTTAAATGGCAACGGAATACCCATCTCTGACAAAACTAAACAAAAAAAGGACCATTTTGTATCTGTATATACAAAATATTTAGGATAGATACACAGCTACTTTCTCTTAATTCAATGAGAAGAAAGATTTGTACTAATAGTGCTTGCAGACAGGATAACATATCTGCATCTTATACTATGATAACCACTATGAAGACAACAATATGCAATATATTAATTATTTTAACTGTCCTACTGATCTGTTTTGAAATTGTCTCCTTACTATTTGTTTTTCAATAAAATTAATTTTAAATTTTTTTCTAAAAAATAAGGAAAAGGAAAATTAAGGGCCAGCCAAATAGCTCAGCAGATTAAAGGGTCTGCAAGCAGCGCAAGGGCCGGGAGTTCAATCCCCAGACCTGCCATGCTGGCCCCATCCCCAGGGCACACTGAGATGGCAATTCAGACAGGGCATGGTGGTGCATGCCTGTAATCCCAGCTCTTGGGAGGCTATAAACAGGTGGATCACTATGAGTCCAATCTAGTAGTGAGACCCTGAACACCCTGTAGACCACTTCCTAAAAAATTACAAAAAAAAAAAAAGGAAGGAAGGAAGGAAGAAAGGAAGGATGGAAGGAAGGAAGGAGAAAGAAAGAAAGAGATAAAGCAATTCTCCAAGAATAAGAGCCTGAATAATTTGGCTGGGGATTTGAGGGCAG